ATTGTTCGAACCTACTCTGTGGGTGTGGCCTCCTTTGTGGGAGTGGCTTGCCACCCATGTGACCGGATGGGAGTGGCTTTTCGCCCCTGAGACCAGATATGAAGATGCCGATGACACTTGTCAGAACCACCTTAAATGTTCTGATGGCACCACAAACGCAGGAGTCATCCTTACCTTTCACAGAGGCACTGAGTTTTATAAATATGAGCATGATAGTGTAGAATAATCATATCCAAGGACCAATTTTGGAACCTCTTCTGTAGGTGTGGCCTGCTTTCCGGGTCCACTGGTGGAACCTCTTCTAACGGGTTCGGTAGATTTGACGAACCGGTTCTACCGAATAGATGCGAACTGGTAGGAACCCACCTCTGGAGCCATCATAGTTTCACAACTACTCCAAGACAGGTGGCAGCTTTGGCTAGGATGATCTTTGCACAGGTCCATTATGTGTGCTTTATTCCTAGAATGGGAAGCTCTTCAGACTGTCACTTATGTTCTGGTTGCCTCATAATGGAATGTTGCAATTTGATTGCTTTTGAAGACCACCTGAAAGCTACAACTAGTCCAAAAATGCTACAGCGACGGCCACACTTGATACACCCATGTGCATTAAGGATTCGCAACCGGCACTGGTTGCCTGTCTGCTTCTGGGTGCAATTCAAGGTACTGATTTCCACCTGCAAGGGCTTTCATGGCATGGGGCTTGGTTCTTTGATGGACCACCTGTCTCCATAATTCTACCTGACCAGTGAGATTCAACTCCTACCCTACAAGAGTTTGACAAATCTTTGAAAATGTGTGTCTGGAGTCTCTGGCCCGGAACTAGATTGTTTGTTGAGACCATGATGAGTTTTTTTGTAAGATAATTTCTGTTGAGTTCAGATGCATATGTTCTTTTCCTCAATTATTTTCCACTCTTTTAATTGTAAAATACTCAAGAGTAATACGATTATGAATTCTATAAAATCAATTAATCCATTGTTGGCAGTCAAAAGTTTACAGCTGATACCTCAACCGTAAGATGAACTAATTACATAAATTTAAGAAACTTTGTCATAGCTGTATCTTGCCACTTCTCCATACAAAAATATATCCCATGCAAATGTTATTAATCTATCTTTTGAGGTTCCTACAACCTTTACCAGCCCAGGTACTACAATAAAAACATTTCCCAATTTTTGAATGTCCTGGGTTTCCAATTTCTTTCCAGTGACTAACAAAATTACTACCATACCAGAGGTGGGTTCCTACCAGTTCGCACCTATTCGGTAGAACCGGTTCGTCAAATCTACCGAACCGGTTAGAAGAGGTTCCACCA